CTAAGGGCATTTGTTGACCCTTCAGAAGACATGGGTTCGGTTCCCAGCATCCACATAGCAGCTTACAATCTTGCTTAGCTCCACTTCCCGGGGACCCAGTGCCCTCTTCTGTGGGCACCAGGCATACATACAGCACACATACATACATATGGGCATATCATACCATATGAACATAACTAAGTTCTCAAAATATTCTGAGCGCCATGATGACTAAGATGTCTCTCTTAGAAAAGTCAGTGTGGTTTCCTCGAATTTAATTATGAGCACCATGGTCTTGGCAGGTGCTAAGCTATTACCTCTAATTATTATTTTTTTAAAGACATTATTCTTTATCAACTGTTGAAAGTTGGTTCTCTCTTTCTACCAGTTAGGTCCTGGGGATGGAACTGATGTCATCAGGCTTGGCTGCAAGTGCTTGACCCACTGAGCCATCCCTCCAGCTAATACCTCTGATTCTTATGTTGATTGTTCCTGTTGGAAAGAGGCTAGAGTCAGCCCATGAGGTACAGTTATGCAAATCAGAAAGATGTGCCCCTTCCCTCAGACAGCACAGTCTTGAGAAGGGAGCTAGCCAAAATCTCAGCGTCCACTTGCCTTCTGCTGCAGGCATCTCTGGAGCAGGCCTCACCTGGGCAACCCTATAAACTGGACTGTCTCATTGGCTGGAAAACACTGGCAAGATCTTCAGGAAGTGCACGTGGTCTTTGGCATCATGAGATGGTGCTTACAGCATTATCTGAGTAGGCGCAGAAGCCTTAAGACTTCCTGGCACACCTGAGTATCTGAAGAGCTCAGATAAAGGCCTTCACCCACTCACGTTATTCTCAGCTATCCAGTTGTTTGAGAGAACTCACAGCCTCTGTGAGGGCTTCCAAACCACGGTTAGAAAAACGGCCTGTTCCAGCTTATTCAGTTCCGCAGGCACATTCAACAATTCTGCCTCCGCTGAGTAACTTCAGACCGTTGGTCATTTGTTCCAGAAAAATCCTTGGCCCTCACTTAGCCCTTCCCATGGCTCAGACAGAATCCCTTGCCTACTTATACCTTACTCTTCTATATTGGATTCTTTTAGAGTTGGAGTATGTCTTATTTAGTTTTGCTCGCAGCCTCGCTGGGAAAAAAAATATACAAGTGTATAAACACACAAGCTGTAATGAGCATAGTAAAAAAAAAAAATGTCTTTTAGATATGTAAAAATAGCTTAGTCAGGAACCCCACTACACCCAAAGCTGCACCTGATAATCACAACCCAGTGACGTCACCCACTCAAGATAACCAGACAGTCCTAGAACCCCATGGCACCCACTGGAGAGTATGTAAGCAGAGACCAAGAGCAATGCTCTGCACATCTGGACAGACACCGCCTTGATCTGCCCTGCAGCTGGAGGGTCTCCCCCAGGATCCTGGCCCCCAAATCAGAGACTTCTGTTAGAGGTTGGACCTGACCTTCTGCTAAGATACATAGCACAGGTGAGCAGCCCTAGGGAGAAAGGCTCAGGACTGTAGGCAAAAATTTAGAGTGTGAACCTTGTGTGTTGACCTTCAGCATAATAAAATATAACTTTGCCCTACCAATTACACGTATTCACATCCTTGATCACGACATGAGCTAAAAAGCAAAAGGGCCCCTTCTGTCTTTTCCTATTTTAATGTCCCTCCTTTCCAAGGGGATCATCCAGAGTGTTTATTATGTATCCTTCCAGAACTTTCCATCTTCAAGAATGGCGATGCTAATAACAGTGCCAACCACTGAGTATGTTCTAGGGTCAAATGCAAACTGCTTCTCATGAATGCTCTTAAGTGAGTCCCAAGCCTGTAATGTCAGTGTTATTTTTGTGGCCATTTCCCAATAGATGCCAGGATGGAATCTACTAAATGGTAACGTCAGAATTTGAACCCAGGTAGGATTACTTCAGCGCCCATGCCCTTCTATTATTCTGTCACCTGGCTTTGGAATGTGGAATGTTCACATTCTTCACACTTACCCAAATTCTGGTTGTTTTTATTTATGCTTAAAATAGTGTGTGTGAGGGTGCATGTGCATAAGCGTGTGCGTGGCTGTGTATGTGCGTGTTCACCAGCAACTGGGGCCGTGCCACAGTGCATGTGTAGATCAGAAGACAACTTTGTGGAGCTCTGGGGATGAGACCCAAATCGCCATCCTGTCTTGGCCATCTTGAAGCACCCCCCAACATACACACACACACACACACACACACACACACACACACACAGTTACCCACTTTTGAGATTAGCTACCATTATGTAACCCCAACTGGCCTCCAACTCAAGACCACCCTCCCTGACCCTCTCCAGCGCTAGGATTTCAGGGCTGCCCCACACACACAGCCACTGCCTTCATTTCAAAAAAAAAAAAAAAAAAAAAAATGTTGCTTAAATATTAAATAAAATGCAGTTAGCTGTTCTTTCACCAACAAACTTCTGGGGTTTTAAATTTCCCTACTTCATCAAATCTAAGATTCTTTTACGGCTAGAGGCATCCAATTTCAGAGCGATAAAACATTTTAAAGTGTGCATCTTAGCATTAGTATAATAATTAGGATCAATGCTTCGGAAAAACATGCTTGTACATCATTTTTATAGAAATTCACTAGAAATAAAATTGTCCATAAAAAAATGAAGAGTTGGTTTTTTTAGATAGATACTGTCAAATTCCTTCTAGAATACCGTATGTCAGTCATCAGGGTCACTGTTTCCCTTAGCAAAATGTGTCACATTGCAGGTAATAATAATACTAAAACACTAAATAAATGTTCAGTGGCTGAAATGCAAGACATGGCCTAGCAAATCTAATGCATTAAAAAAAAATAAACACAAGATAATGTTGTTGTTTTATAAAACTGACATTGTGAAGACGAGAACATTTTATTAAATGGGTCTGTACTTCTTCTGAAGCACTAATACGTTTTTTTTTTTTTTTTCCAACATGTGGACTTTTTTATTGTAAAAGAGAAAAGCAGTGACAATACCACCAGGCCAGGAAATAGCAACTACCATCCTTCCTGAGTCCTTTGGCATGATCCTAGGGAATCTAGGCACCTGGAGCCCTGCAGACACGGGGAGACAAGATCATGCCCACTTCTGGATGCTCACCGGATCGTGTACTTGTCCCATTTCTTCTCTGGGTCATAGGGCTCCCAGCGGCTGGCAGGAAAGATGTGCTTGTTCTTCTCATACCAGCTCCTCAGTACCACTTTGCCTGCGTGTGACTCATCCTTCTCCACAGTGGCATCACTGAGCAGTCGTACATCATCATGTACATCAAAGCTGAAGAGCGGCCCACTTTTCCCTCGTGCCTTAGTGACAATGAAGTCATAGAAGCTGTGATGATGGGGGATGATCAAATCCTCCTTGATGTACATGAGCTGCTCCACCCCTGCTGACCTGAGCTCGGTGAAGTCTTTGCGCAGGATCTCAAGCGCTTTCTGCAGGAACTGCTGCACCGCGCTGCCCTTTTTCATCTTAACTGTGCGCCGGTGCCCGGAGCCATCCCAGTAACTAAACGTGATTTCAATCTCTTCACTCTTGATTTTCTCTTGTTTGGCTTCCCACTCCTGACGCAGCTCTTCCCGAAGCCGATTCTCCTCCTCCTCCCGGTCCCGGTCAGGTAAGAAGCTTGTGTCCACATCAGGGTTCTTCCCCAATTTCTTTCTCTTTGTGGTGACCTCTTCCCTTTCCAGCTGCTCCTCATACACGGCCACCTCATCCTCCTCATCACCTCCCTCTTCTTCCTCCAACGTGAAGGACAGGCTAGAGATCTTCCGCTTGGCCTCCTTCTTGAACTCCTTCTCTCTCAGCTTCTCTAGCTTCAGCTGTAGCTCCTTTGACTGCTCCTTTTTGGCCAGCTGCTTCTCTCGCTCCTTCACCAGTGCCTCCTGCTTGGCCTTCATGTCATTCAGAGTCACAAGGCCCACAGTACTGGACTTGAGCTCTGCTTCCACAGCATCATAGTGTGCCGAGAACTTCTTGTCGATGTTGGATTTCATTATGTTCTCCTCTGCAATCCTCTGCTTCATCTGCTCCATTTGTTCACGCTGCTTCTCCCTCTTCTTCATCAGGTGCATGGCCCGGCCCGCCTCGCTTGCGGCACCCTTGTACTGAGCCATGGTAGCAGTGGCGGCAGCGGGATGACAGCAACGACCTTGGGGGAGTCCTGACGGCTACGGCGACGGTCACACTAACACATTTTATGCATAATGCGTCCAATGTAGCTCCAAGGCACCTTTCAAAATGACTAATCAAAAGACTGTACACCCAACTTAAACAACTCACTAATAATGCAAGTGTTTTAAAGGACCCAAGCTACCACAGGAAGAACATTTCCCAGATATCTTTTAAGCCTGCCATTTCTCTCAAACACCCCCAAGATGGTCTGCATGCACCACCTTAGTCTACAGAAATTCTGATTTGGCAGATCTATCTGCAGAGGCTGCTGTCCTTTTGAAGGAGCACTAGATTATTCTAATGCACTCTGGAGTTAGAGCCAGTGCATCTAAGGAAGTTTGGTTTTTGTTTTTAAGATTATGTGTGTGAGTGCTCTGCCCGCCTGTACAAAATGTGTGCGTCTTGAGCGCTGGACAGCCATGGAGGTCAGGATAGGGCGTCGGGATGCCCTGGGACCTCAGCCTCGAATAGTTGTGAGCGCCCGGAACCGAACCCCATGCCCTCATTCGATTTGTCCTTTACAAAGACCCCTTCAACAAAGTATACGCACTTGGGGTGATGTGGGCAGCACCGTCGATGGCATCTCCGCTCCGGCAGGAGAGGCTTGAAGACGCGAGCCCGCGAGCGCCTCCTGCCGGCTTTCAGGAAGCTCGTCCTGGGAGAGGCCCGGAACCACCCACTGCGACTGCGCTCTGAGCGGCCGGGGAGGGGAGGCAGCCGGGAAACGCACTCCCGGAACGGAAGCGGAAGTGATGTTGCGCTAGCCTCGAGCGCTCCGTCCGCAGTGACCACCCTTCCTTCTCTGGGCTCGGCCGGAAGCGGAAGTTGCTGAAGGGTAGTGGGAGGGGGGTGGAGTTGCCCCAGAAGTGTCAGGTTACGTTCCCGCTCTCGTTGGAGTTCCAGCCGCGGCTTCCTGAGCAGGTAAAGCGGGGCTCGGCGAGCGCGCGCGGCCCGAGACGCGAGGTCCACGGTCCCGGGAGTTCCGGGGGTCCCGGCCCGCCCCTTCCCTTTTCCCTGTGTCCCCGCAGACCTCCGCCATGGGCAACACAAGCAGCGAGCGCGCCGCGTTGGAGCGGCAGGGCGGCCACAAGACGCCGCGGAGGGACAGCTCCGGGGGCGCCAAGGATGGGGACAGGCCCAAGATCCTGATGGACAGCCCCGAAGACGCCGACATCTTCCACTCCGAGGAAATCAAGGTGCTGAGTCGAGGGGCATCCGAGCCCTCTTGTCTCTGGTTGAGGGGAGGGCGCCTTTGCTGTGTTCCCGCCACATTCCCAACTTCACACCTGGACGGAGCTGGCCCTGTCACAGCCCTCTTCGCTGTCCGGGAACCTGTGCCTAATTACCCATAGAGTAATTAGACTCTACTCTAGAGTAGAGTCACCCTGGATTTCGTTGAACATCATTAAGGAGAAAGCAGCTCTGGGACCGAGTTTAATTAAGAGTCGAGCTAGCTGTAATTGAGCACCAGTGTCTACTTTTCTCTTAGGTGTAATTAATTGATTGCGAGGCTTCACGGTCCTTTTTCTCGATTTCAGTCCGACGCACTTTTGCACAAGTTGGGTTGGGAGTTCTAGGGTTTGTTTTGGAGGCAAAACAGGAGCACTAATGTTAAGCTGAAAATGAAGTTGACTAGCTGACCGCCGGAGGTGTTTGGTTCTGACACTTTTTGGCCCACCCCTGCTTACTTTATTTTAGAGCCGGCAATTCCACTTGAGGTCAGTGGCCGAGAGTCACTGAACGGCAGCCAATAGCTAACTACTCCACTTCTCTCCTGCTTTTACTGAAACAGTGACTTGGACTTTAAGCAGACCAGAACAAACAATTTTTGCAGGTCAAGCTGAAAGTTCCTGCTTGAGCCGCAGTCTCTTAATAGTAATGTGGCCAGTGCTTCTGGCTACAGGACCCACTCCAAGGGCATTCGCTGATTCTTGACGGAAACGCTAATTCGTTAGAACAAACTGCATTTAGGAAGGTTGATTCTTGTTGTCTTGTTGCCTACTCCACATTACTTAAACAGACTAATTGCCTGGCCACTAGCTCTGCTTTTACTCATCACCCCTGGACTGGCTATAGTTCTCTTTAAAGAGCCTGCTTTTATGGAACTGTGCCTTGTGATTGGAACATGTTTTCTGAGCTTGCAGCATTAGGGGAAAGGTGTGTGCAGCGATCCTTGGAGTGCTGTTTCTCCGCTGAGTTAAGATTGTCCCCACCCCTAGAAGTAATTTTGACCCAAGGCTATGTAAAAGGAAGTAAGACGTATTTGTTGTAGCAGGTGCATATTCACCATGCCCTCCGCTCTCTGCAGTGAGCTGAATAAACTTACTTTTCTTTTTAGAAAGAAATGGGTGTTGTTGCTGTTCTCTATAGGATCACTGAAGAGGGATTTAAGTGACATCCCTTCTCATGTCATAGGTAGTAACTGGCTGCTGGATCAAGTCAGAAATTCTTCCTGTAACCCAAGTTCAGTATTGTGCTACAGTTAGTTATCTTCTAAAACAGTGGTTATCTTTGGGGGTCCATAACAGACATCCTACATATCAGATGTTTACGTCACGGTTCACAACAGTAGCAAAATTAGTTATGAAGTAGCAACTAAATGATTTTATGGTTGGTGGGGGGTCACCATAGCATGAAAGGGGCGCAGCATTAGGAAGGTTGAGAACCACTGCTCTAAAATAAAGCAGGTCTGGTTTGTTAATGTCTAGCTCAGATCTAAAGACTGCAGGCATCTGTTAGATAAGAGCAGATTGGTATCTGGTGTGGAGGTAATAGAAGCTTGCTGGGCTCCCTTCAGGGCTTTCTCCCATCCTAGAAATCTGGTCTTCTGACTGAAGAATAGAAAAGATTCTTACACAACTGTGTTTCACCCTAGGGTTGGATGTGCGCTGTTCTCTCTGGCTGGAGAAAGTTAGATATGGTCTAACTTTACCTCACTGGATAATATCATTTGCCATAATGAAGGGACCAGTCTTTTTAATTTGTCTGTTTCTCCTCTGTGCTTAGTACTTGGTGAATAGCTGCCAGTTTAAACAACTCTGAGATCATCCCTTATAAATTCTTACATACACCAAAGCCTGCTTAATGGAGGGAAATCCCGAGTGTTAAACTCACCTTGGACTCATGGCAGTCTTCCTCCAAGCAGGCCTTATTAGCTTCCTCTAGACTTTTTGTGACGTCTGACTGCAGTAATAGTAATAGCTGATGAGTCAACTCTGTGCCAGACTATCTGAGTCTTCAAACACTGACAGAAGTGGTTATGTTTGTTATCTCTGGTTTGCAGGAGACGCAGGTAGGAGTAAGTGGCAAGCGCTGCCTGGCTAGACTGTTGTCACTCTTAAGTTAACCATCTAGTGTGGGGACCTCACTGGTGGCTGTCTGCTTCTTAGGCTCCAGAGAAGGAGGAGTTCCTGGCCTGGCAGCACGATCTTGAAGTGAATGATAAAGCTCCCGCCCAGGCTCGGCCAACTGTATTTCGATGGACAGGGGGTGGAAAGGAGGTGTACTTGTCTGGGTCCTTCAATAACTGGAGCAAACTTCCCCTCACGAGAAGGTAATGGCAGGAGACACATTCTCTTGTTTTAGCTGTGGGTATATTCTGGTTTTTAAGAGATCTCTGTGGGTGAGTAGCATAAAGGGCATTTTTGTAAGATAGATGCTGCTTAATGAGTTCCGATGTCAAGCCCTAGAAGGCACTGTCTTTCACTGCACATGTTTTAGAAGAAAGCACTAAGTGAACAGTACTTCTGTGCCGTACTCCAGTACTCGCTCCACATTTCCTCTGAGAAAGTTGTTCTGGTCCTGGAGAAAGTGCTGGGCTGGGAGCTTTAGAGCATGGATCCGAGCCACTGCCTGCACTAGGCAGTCCCTTCTGTGAGGGACCACATGATCTTGAGGTCCACGGACTAGTCGACTCCCAGTGTGTAACTTTTGGAAGGGACATGCTCTGAAGACATCATTAGCAAAGAGAATAGTGAGATGCTTTATCAAAAGCCCTTGTGTGGACTCCTGTCTCCAAACCTTCACTGGTGACCACTTCTGATAAATGGAGAGAGAAACTGCCCTGCTGTACCAGGCCTGACTGTTGTCAGTCCATCTGTGTTTCCAGGGCTAATACTGAGGTGCAGAGGAACCACTGGGCGCAGTAGCCATAAGTTAATTCAAGTCAGGCAAAGAAACAACTACATGGAGGAAGGCTCAAGGGTTGCTGGGAGTTAGACAACTTTGTATAGACAGTGTTTGTGTGCCCTGTCACTCTGACCCCTTCCTCATAAAGACTGACAAACTGCCAAAAAGGGGACCTAGGCAGCTTGTGCATGCCTTTCTTGTCACCCTCCTCTGCATTCAGGCTGCCAGATGGTATTTTGCATGCAGACTTAAAAGGCATGAATTTGTTTGAAAAGCCATTTGTTGACCTTTCAGTGTTAGGATTCTAGTTACTAGCAACTGAGCAAGGTGAGTTTTCCTTTTTCCAGACGCTCTTGCCTGCTGTCCTGATAAATGGCTTTCCTAGCTTAGACCATGACTGTGAATTGTCTGAATTGTTGACATGTTTGCTGTCCTTCAGCTGAACTCTTGGTCGTACCTGGAGCCAGAGGGCAGCCCACCCAGCTAAAACACTGCTTCCTTTCTTTCTGCAGCCAGAATAACTTTGTGGCCATCCTGGATCTTCCTGAAGGAGAGCATCAGTACAAGTTCTTTGTGGATGGCCAGTGGACCCACGATCCTTCTGAGGTACTCTGCCTGGAGCCCTTAGCCCTCTGGGTACTGGCACAGCCAACACCAATCACTTTCATTGTAACTTGCTATCGGGTCCCTCTTCCCTGTGTGTGACTCTGAGCTAGATAGCACCAGTTGCCAGGCCATTGGTATAACTGACCAAGAGTAGCTAGCCAGGCAGTGAGACCTTCCAGCCAGGAATTCTAGTCCTCTAAAGAACTCCACAGACCTTCCCTGTTATGATTTCTGCCTGTCTATCTCTTCCCAGCCAATAGTAACCAGCCAGCTTGGCACAGTTAACAACATCATTCAAGTGAAGAAAACTGACTTTGAAGTATTTGATGCTTTAATGGTGGATTCCCAAAAGTGCTCCGATGTATCTGGTATGAACAGCTCCTTTATCCACGTGTGTGCAGGCTGGGGCTATGTGGCCTGGACATACTCTGTTTCTCTTGCCTCTCACACTTGAGCAAAAGCTGCCCAGCCAGGTGGACAGCTGTAGCTTTCTGGGCCACAGCAGTTCATTCCTAATTCCTTCAGCTCTGGTTGTTGGAGTTCAACCCCAAAGAGGCCATAAGTCACTGCCTTGTCTTGTTGGGTACTCTGCAGTGCCACTTGGTCATAGAAACAGAACTAAACTTGATGTTATGCCACAGGCGGGGCTGAAGAGGCCCTAGAGGATACGTTGAGTCAGTAATGAACCAGTGCCAGGGAAACAGCCAGCTCACTTCCCACTAGTGCTGCCTGGAGAATTGCAGGCTGACAGGTGATAAACGACACCTCAGTGACCTTGGTCGTCACTGTGCCGTCCATTAGCACTCTGTTGGGCTTCCTGATGGAAGTGGTTCCCTACAGAAAACAGGCTATATAGCACAACTTTCTTTTCTGGAAACCTGTTCTATTCATTCCTGTTAAACAAGAGTCTTCAAACCACGGAGCTTTTGGTGACCTGCCTTCCACCCACACTACATAGGAAAAACTATTTGGACCATCACAGGGTCAGTTCAGGAGAAACCTTGGCATAAACTGTACTTTCCCTTATATGCAGGGGCTGCTTCCTGGGCCCTGAGGGAGACAGTAAAAGGAGTCCTCCGCAGCATGTCCAACCATCTGAGAATGGCTTCCATTCAGTTTGCTGAGGAATTTTCCATTGTCATCTCAGTGGACCTAGAGGTTCTGCCTCTGGGATCTCTCACTGTTTCCAGTTCTGACGTCATAGCTGTACACTGACTAGTGGGCTTGGCTAACTGTGGCTGTGTCCAGGTTGTGGATCTGGGCTGAGAAACCCAAATTACTGGGATTGCTGGCGGTCCTTAAATGACTGCTTACGTGTTTTCGAATAGGCAAAGGCGTGGCATGGAGGCGGTGTACCTACCCCTCCTACTGGCTGACATAGAACTTCATGCTACACACCAACGCCTTCAGTCAAAGTTCTGGTTGATCACCTGAGGCAGAGAGTGTACCCCTCACTGCTGCTGAGCCAGCTCCAGCTCTAGACTTCCCGTTTAGGTAGTCAAGTGGCTTGTTTATTCCTTATAGCTCAGTTTTCTGCATTTAATGCTTTCTAAGTTTTTCTGCTGAGGTATGGTTGGATCATGTGAAGGGAGCCTGACCTAGAAAATGATGTTGAGAAAATTGGCAGTTTTGGTTCAGCTTACGGATCAGGTGGCCAGAACCCATCCTGATGTTCGAATAATGGCTCAGTACCATCAGCCAGCCAGATGTCATGATTTGAGCTGCTTCTGTTATGTGAGGTTCTGCGCTTCCAGAGTTCTTACTGTGTCTATATAGTAAAGACACTCAGACCCGGAGTGTAGAACCAAAGGGCCTTTATACTTAGGTTTATTATATTATTTTTAATGTTGGTACCCCATTAAACCTGTATTCTGCCTGGTAGAGCTTATAATTTAGGCTGGGCCACTTAATCCCCACTAGCAGCCTTGAACTTGTGGCATTTGCCAAAGCCAGACTGAAGTAGGAAGGAAGCTTTATTCTGGTGATGAGAGAGGTCAGGGCATTAGGAATTCCTTGTTAGTGTGGCCCAGATACTGGCTTTACCACAGCTGCTCTCTGACTGGAACATCTCTGCACCAGTGACGCTTATTCTGAGCACCCGCATTCCAAAGGCATTTCTCATCCCTCTGTTTTTCCTCTTTGGAGCCTGAATGTCTTTAAAGAATATACAGATCTCTATTGAGGGAACAAGGACAGAAAGCTAATGATGATACTGTGACCCCCTTAGAGCTTGTGGTCTCAGAGTGTCTTGTCATCTTCTCCCAACAGAGCTGTCTAGTTCCCCGCCAGGACCCTACCATCAGGAACCGTACATCTCTAAACCAGAAGAGCGGTTCAAAGCCCCGCCCATCCTCCCTCCACACCTGCTGCAGGTCATCCTAAACAAGGACACGGGCATTTCTGTGAGTACTCCCATCCAGGTCTCCTCTCTGCCTGCTTCTTACAATGTAGAGGTGAGCAGACGTGTCTTCCAGTGTTGTGACTGTCATGGTCCAGGCTGACCTTCATGCCACCCCTTCTTGATCAGCTAGATCTTGGAATTCCTACTGCAGCGGTAACATCTTAGAACCTAATTTTAATTACTAAGCTGCTTTCGGAAACATCCATGTGCTATCTGCCGTGGCAGCAAGTGTAAAGGCTAGCGATGCCCTTAAGATGACAGCCAGGTGCGGTGACACACATCTGTAATCCTAGCACTCTGGTAGTCAAAGGCAGGCGGATCCCTGTGAGTTTGAGGCCAAGCCTGATCTACAAAGTGAGTCCAGGATAGCCAAGGCTACACAGAGAAACCCTGTCTTTTTAACAAACAATAAAAGAAGTATACTAACAAAAAAGAACATTTCTCCTCTGAATACAGTGGAGGAGAAAGACTAGAAAATTAGGCTTAAAAAAAAGATGACTGACCTTCCTCAGGATGCCTTCATTAGTTCCATGCTCACCCTCATGACCTAATTCATCACCAGTTATGACCCATGCCCCAACGCTGGGGATTGAGTTCCCAGTACATGAGCATTAGGGACAGAGTCACACCGAAGCTGAAGAGCGCCCACCCAGTAGAGCCCACATGTTGGTGTGCTGACTGTGTCTGTGTTGAGGGTTCCCTAGAGTAGCATTAGTGTCTGTTACTCCATCTCGGAAGACTTAGATTTCTCAAGGCACCAGACGCCCTTCTGTGCCAAGGTCCAAGCCCAGATAGCGGCTGGTATGGTCATTCCTGTGTATCCAGGAAGTCATGGTAAGGAACAGCCAGCTTCAGACCCCACTGGCTGGCCATGTGCCTGGCATTAAGTTGGCAGTACCTCAAACAGGTAGCTAGTGGAGAACTGAGAGGACCCTTAGCCACTGTCCTAAAAGATTCCGGTGAAGTTGCTCTCCTCCCTTATAAAGAAGTTCAGAGGTCGGAAGACACTAAGTACTGTCCTTCACAAGGCAGGTGCCCCTCCTGCAAAGGGAGCCATTACCAGAGAAAGGCCTGGAACATGGATGCAGGAGAGCCTGCACTGGGACCTGTCTGTCAGAGGCAGCCCTGGGCTCTAGCAGACCTTGTTTCAGTTAGGGAAGTGCTTTCCATAGTCTTACTTAAGCTCCACAGTGAAGAGACTGGGGCACCAAGATGTAGAGTGGTGTCCCAGTGAGAGGTCAGAGTCCACTGTCTTAGAGGTTCTAAGAACCCTCACTCACTGTTAACTGTGCTCAGCCTACTTGTGCAGCACCTCTCACAATTGGTTCTTGTGTCTGGTACAAATTTTGTTCCATTTGACTAGTATCTTCCCCATAACTACCATTCCATTTCTCCTATCCTACTTTTTAAGGATTTTGCATATTTTTATATGGTTTTGTCTAACTGTGCCTGGCTCATTTAATGTCCATGAAATTCCGTATTCTTGCAAATGATAGAATTTCCTTCCTTTTTAAGACCGAGCCACATACTATCGTTACAGTTTTTTTCCTGTTCCTGTGGTAAAATATTTGACAAAAGCAATTTAAGGGACAAGGGTATACTTAGGCTCAGAATTCCAGGTTCTGGTCCATCCTGCCAGCGAAAACAGCAGCTGGAGTTTGAGAGGTGACCTCATAGCATCCATAATCCTCTATCATAAATGCATACCTTCTGCCCACTTCCTACATATAGTACAGTGTCCCACTAGGGAATGTTGTTGGGCTGACAGTTAACACAGGCCATCACAGTGGTGAGTGCATAGTACATTTATAAATCTGCTTATCCATGGTTGGTTGTTCCATATCTTGGCTATTGTGAATAGTGCTGCAGTGATCGAGGGATTATCGATGTGTCTTCAGCATCCAGATTTCGTTTCCTTTGAATGCATTTGTATATGCGTACACATGGATGTGCACACAGGCACATGGGCTGGGTGACTGAATCATATGCTAATTGTGTGTTTAACTTTAAGGATCATCCATAATGTTTTCTAGAGACAATATTGATGTATGTGGTCATTAACAGTACAAAGTAGATTTTAAGTGTTTCTTCACCACACCTACACACAAATGGTGAATATGTTAGTGGTCTGGTGTAACCATTCCACACTGAACTTGCATATCTCAAACATGATGTGCTCAAAATATTAGTCAGATCAGAACTGTTATTTTGGAAGGCTCCAGCAGCCATTGGCTGAAGCAGCAGTCAGCTGAGGCAGGTAGGCTAGCACCTTGCTCTCTTATCAGCTGTCCTGCTCAGCCTGCCCAGCAAGCGCTCACTGGGAACTTGTGACAGGGTTGTTAGCCTCTGAGGTGTGAAGCCTAACAGCAGGACTGGTGCATGCTGGGAGGCACTGCCAAGGCAGAGCCAGACTAGGACCTGACTTCCCAGCTCATCCAGCTCTGCTTCCCTTTCTCCCGATGAAATCGGCCTGTACACTCGTGTGCTGCAGGTTGTCCCCAGCAGATCTTCCCAGACTCAAACTTAAGCACTACAGGGCATCAGCATGCAGCTGGCCACTCCCTAATCTGCTACACAGACCAGTCTCCTGTGTGTGGGAAGGCCAGCCAGCTTCATCTGGAAAGGCCTGCTTACATTCCCTAGAGTTCTTGGTCTCAGACGCCTGCTGGCAGCTGTGAGATCTTGAAGGCACTTCAGGACTGGGATTCCCAGAGTATGGAGGGACATGAATATGCCCTCCCTTTGAGGTAGAGATATCGGCCTGAAGCCACCACAGACCGGTAGCCTGTGCTTGTATTTTCCTCATGTGAGTGCATTTTCTTCCAAAAGTTTGGAATGTGCAATGAAAAAGCTCTAGCTGTCTGGCCTCTCAAAGTAAGGCAGTGTCTGTGTGTCCATTTCCTGAGTCACCTGCTGTTACCTGCTGCTTTGTGTAGCTGTAGGGACTGGAGTCAACTCTCAGGAGCATTTAGCATGCGGTTTGTATTCTGTGTTCGGTGAAAGCATTTTCAGCGGGTCCTTAGTAGCCTGCTCTTCTCTGAAAGAGGATGGAGTGAGGCCTGCCTTAATAAAAGTCAAGGTGAAAAGGACCTGTGACACTCTGCTGCATCCAGCTAGCACTAAGGATCTGCCCTTCTCACCTCACTTGTCTTGTCCACAAAGCCCTTACATGCTCTCCTTAGGTCAACTTGAGAGCCTGTCTCCTCCCCTTGGCTACCCTGACCATGCCATGAAATGAGAGGGAGAATCACCCCAACAGAAATCCTTACCTGCTCACATACCCCTTGGTCCCCTCACAGTGTGACCCAGCGCTGCTTCCGGAGCCCAACCACGTCATGCTGAACCACCTCTATGCACTCTCTATCAAGGTATGACTTTCTGGCCTCAGAGCAGTTTCTGAGCATGTCCTCTGAGGACACCTCAACTCCAGGATGGCCTGGACTGCTGACAAGCAGAGCAGCTTTTGGGGTCTGGCGGGCTCGGGCTCCAAAGGTGGGCCCAGGAGTTTGGGTTTCCCTTAGGCCTGTAGTGATTCTCATGTTCCCTGAAGTCTCAGTCGCTGACCCTGTCCTGCACTTGGTCATTTCCACCCTCTTAGGATGGAGTGATGGTGCTCAGCGCAACCCACCGGTACAAGAAAAAGTATGTCACCACTCTGCTCTACAAGCCTATATGAGAAGCTAAGAGCCAGCCATGGACCACAGGGAAGGGACAGCAGGCAGCGCTGGGCTCTCCACGTGCATGCAGATCCTCACTTCATTGTCTGGACATTTCACCCCCACCCTAGTCCTCCTTGAAGGTTTGTCCAGGCATAGCCTCTCTAGAAGAGCCCAGAAACGGAGACGGGATGGCTGTGCTCAGTCCCAACACCACAGTGCACAAGGCTAGTGTGCTCCAAACATCGTTCCTCAGCTGGCCAAAGATGTCTACAGCCTGACCTGAATGCTGGAAAAACCTGGGGAGCAGGGACTAAATACACATACAAATTCTTACTGTCTGTATCCGCAAGGCCGCTGGCCTGTCCCTGCTGAAGCCTGGCTGTGGAAGAAAGCAATATTCAGGCTTGCCTTTCCTTCTGAATCAAAGCAGTAGATTGTAGATTCTATGGAAATAGAGCTGTCTGATTTCCAGGTGCAGCTTTGCAATCGTTGCCCGACACTGTGTACTAAGATCTTTTTAACCAGAGTGGCTAACTAGCCACTCCTACCTAAGGCAATAAGTCACCAGGATGAGACTGTAGATCATGTGACTACACTCAGCAATAATTGTTTTCAAAACCCACTGCCATATTTGCCATTAAGCTGGATGATCCCGAGGCCTGACCACCATGGAAGGTTGCCCATTTGTTGTTTTGGTTGTCATAGTGACCATGTTACCATGACAGCTTGGTCAAAGCACCTACCCTCCTTTTTCAGTTCCAGCAAGTGCTACACAGCTGGGGACCCGACTCCAGTGAGCCAAGAATGTCACAGTGGTTGCTATTGCTTGTTCTGTAATAACTTGGAACCCTACAGCAGCCTGCTAGATTCCCAGCAGGAAGACATCCTTTGGATTAGCATGAATGAACCTATCTTAAACTCAGTTTGGTTTCCATGGTGATGCCACAGATGTGACCATTAGTACAGGTTCCTGTCACCTGTCAGCAGAAGTTACCAATTATACCGTTCTTGCCAGAGGTGGAAGCAAACTCTGGTGTATTTGGTTAACCTGAATTTTGGGTACCTTTTTGTTACTATTTTCACAACACAATTGCTGTCATCTTGATGTACAATAAAGCTTTGTAAAAATAAGTGGAGGAAGTTTTGATTCTATTCAGGTTTGTTTGTTTGTTTGTTTGTTAGAAAGGATTAGACCTTCCAGGTTTATTTGGTGCTATCTTGTGGCACTTTGTAGTGAGTGGACCAGACAGCTGTGAGTGCCCATTGTCTGCCACACATGTGGGTGCCTCTGAGAACAAGTAAAAGAAAATGCCACATGTAAATTAGCGAGCTCTAGAGGTCCTGGCAAGGTGGCTCAGTTGGTAAGAGCACTAACTATCCAAGCAGGATAGCCTGAGTTCTGCTCTCTAGCATCCACATAAAAGTCCTGTGTGCTTGTAGCCCCAGTGCTAGAGTGCAAAAGCAAGCAGATCCCAGAGCTCACTAGCCAAGTAGTCTAGTTCAAACATGAGTTTGAGCTTCAGTGAGAGCCTGCTAAAAGAGAAAGGGGGAGGGGATAGAAAAGGACACCTGGCCATCCTGTGGCCTCCACCCACAAGGGGCTGCAACCCCCACCTTCGAGTGCCATGTAAAAACCAGTCCACCCTATGAGAGTGACAGCCCCAGGAGCCTGGAAGACCTCATTTTCTCCAAGCAAAAGGAAGTCCACTGTGGTCCAGATGCCCACAGGCCCAGTGAGAGATCCCAGATCCAGGAGCAGTAAACCACCTCAAAAAAATGGAAAAGGGCCAGGCTGTGGTGACTCAGCTTTAACCCTAGCACTTGGGAGGCAGAGGCAGATGGGTCTCTTGAGTTTGAGGCCAGCCTGGTCTGAATGAAGAGTCATGGCTACACAGAGAAACCCTGTCTCAAAAAGCCAAAAAAAAACAGCTGTTGCCCAGCCCACAGAAGTGCAGCAATTTGTGCTTTGTGTGCTGTGATCCAGGTCATGTTAGCCCTCTTAGATTTCTATCAATGAGGACTGGTTCCACAGAAATTATTAAAATGTAACGGTGTTGTCCGATCAATACAGCATCCTCAGGTGGGTTCTATCCCTGCTCCCATTATGAAATATCCAGACATTCAAGTAAGGGATAAAAATAGTATAGTATTTACATATAAGCTATACACATCTGTGCTTACTGTGTAATTTTATGCAAATAGTTAAGCTATTATTTGGGAAATAAATAAATTCTTAGTAAACATTTCTAGTTTGGGTGGGTTGAATGAGTGGACGCCAAGAGGATGCCCTGTGTATCTCCTCTCTAGGCAGTCAACCTGAACAACCAAAGAACTATACATAAAAGCACTGAATTCAGAGGTCCCAGACAAGGCCACTTCCTCCCCTTTGTCTCTACTTGTGTATACAGACATGAGGGAAGTTGACAGTGTTTTGAAACTAGCTGGACAATGTCAGCCTTTGAGTGCCATACCAGATGGAGATGGGAGAATTGTGTAAATCACATGGCTTCTAAGGATGTCCTCTCCATGAAAAACAAGAGAGGTTGGATTAGGCAAGATGACACCTGAGACGCCCTTACCTCACACTGGGAGCCATAGAACGGTGGATGGGTTGGGGCCACAAACAGGAAGTCCGGGTACCAGATGAGGAAACTATAGTGTAGCTATCAGCTCCTTAGGAAATCCTAGAAACCCATGAGTGAGATCAGAGACCACAGCATTTTAGAGAACAAGATTCCGTTTAATCCAGTATGAACATGAACATGAACACAATTCAAATTCAAGCTTATGCTGAGTTCTGGTCTCGTCAGCTGAGATAGTTTTTAAAGGTGCTGTTTAGTAAGTGGTTAGATCATGAGAGCCCTGCCCCGCCCCTCATGAGAGATGAAGGCCCTACAATAGAGGCTACATGAAGCTTTGGCTAGCTTGCCTTTATGACTTCCACCATGTAAGGACAAAGCCACCTTCTGTTCCTGTGGAGAATTCAGAAACAGAAGTGTCAACTTGGAAGCCAACAGCAGCCTTGGCCAGGCAACCATACCCACAGCACCTTGTCTCAGATTCCCTAATTTCCAGGGCTGCAAGAAATACATTTGTTCTTTATAAGTTGCCCTGTCTCGGGTATTTTACTGTAGCAGCACTACACAAAAATATCCACCCTTGTTTACAGACCATCTGAACGACGTGATGAAGGCCCAAGTCTGGGTCAGTCATTGAGTAATCCTTCCAGTAAGTCTCCCAACACTTCTAACCATCAGATTAATAGACAAATAGAAACATGAGCCTTCTGCTTTTTAACCTCGTATCTTCAAGGGAAAGCAAGGAAGTCTTGAATATGTGTTTCTTCTGAAGTCTTTCACCTCAGTGCATTGTAGAAATCACTCACAGGCTTGCTGGGAGCTGTGTCTCAGTCCAAACCTTGGAGGGAACTCTACAGGCTGGAGCCTGATCTGTGGAGCCCCGCTACCATCTCTTTGGGCTCCACAACAGTGGGACCGACATTACTGTCGCCCCACCCCTATCCCAAAGGAAATTCATCTGTCCCGTCTGGAAATTCCACAGCCAGGGAGACCAAAAGGCAGCTCAAGGTACACAGCCCGAGTCGGTTCTATTTTCCTATGTGCCTCAGGCATGCACAGTGTCGGTCACTTTCAAAGTCCTTTCCCCCACCTCTAGTAACCCCTTCTAGTCAACAGCTGTTACTCATTGACAGACCCATGGGAAAGCAATGACTGCTGTTCCCAACCCCCTCTGCTTCAGGGAGACAGAATATGTGATTGGCCCCAGTCCTCATGCTTCAGACAGCATTAGCAGAACTTAAACCAGCAAGAAAGAGCTGACCAGAGAAGCCTCCGAGCAGACCAACTGGAGCACTACAAAGAAAGATCATTCTTAGTTACTGGGGATGAAGGCTTTCTCTGAGTCAGGGAGTATTTAGAGGCCGGTCCCTGGCCTTTCTACTCATTGGATACCATCAGAAACCCATACATGTGGCAACCAAAACTAACCCTAGCTACCACCAAGCATCCTGTCGGGGAAGGAGGGAAAATCATCCTGGCTGAGAGGCTCTGAAAGGAGCCAATGTAACTTTGGTGGAAGCTCGGCTGCCTCACCCCTGCAGGGCCAGCCTCGTCTCTTGCTGTGAGTCTTCATGAGTGCTCTAATCCAACCTATGGCAAAAGGACCTTTCTGCAGACAGACTAGTAGTAAACAGATTATATCTTTTTTTTTTTTTTTTTTGGCCCCAGGGCCCTAAGATTTCATGGTCACACGACTTGGTATGCACTCAATGCCCTGAGTCTTGAGAGAATTTAAGTTGTAAGTGCAACCTGACACGACTTCACACGTAAACTCCGAGAGGCATCGGGAGGGCTGGGCCTCATTTTATAGTGTGACTGAGTAATTTCATGGTTGTTTGGTAAATGTAGTTCCTTTGGGTCCAAAGGACCTCTCAGTATGCTTCCTTTGGAACCAAACCCTGTTTACTCAGCTTTTAAGACATCGCCTAAGCTAGTAACTGAAACGGGTGGCTGATGGCTAATGGACATTTTTCTAATGTTTGGGAAGAAGTTGCAACACCTTACTTCCTCCTTTGTGAGTTGTTTTCTTTCTTACGGTTACAAGGAACAAGCCTCTATAGCTCCTGTCAGAAGCCGGTCAGCTTTGACCCTCAAAGTCAACTTTTAACTATATCTTATTACCTTGTTATGTATGGGTCAGGGATTAAAAGCAAAAAGGTATGGACTGGGGTGGGGGGAGAAAACTGTTCTCCCGGACCAGTCCAGTTTACCTAACTACAGAGTGGTGGAGACCTTTACCATGCCAGTAACTGCCAGGTCAGAGCAGGAAGCACTCACGTTTGAACTCCCTCCAAAGGGAAGTGCATAAGGTTGCCAGTGGCCTGGGTGAAATGGGATCAGAAAAATCTTGCCTTGACCTGTTTTCCCAGTTAGCTGCCTTACAGCTAATCTGCTCTAGACTAATCCCTTCTAAAGTAGCCTCATTGACTGTTTAAGGAGCTTTCTACTTACCTGCCCTAAAAAAATGACCTTAATAAGAGTTCACAGAAGCACTGACCAAACCAAGTGTCCCCCCAACTCTTAATTCCAAGAGCTTCTGATCCGAGCCAATGGCCACAGCCCTCAGAGCGGAAGTGCTGCCCAGTGCGCTGGTGCTCACCTTGGCTGCGGCTTTTATGGTCTCTGACAAGAAAAGACGCCAAGGGGTGGAACAAACATTTTGAGATCATTGCTTTATTTCACTATTGTTCAACGACAAAGATCACTCCTCTCAAGGTGGATCTGGAATTGTCCGTACGTTCTCCTCGTTCTGAATAAAAAAGGTAATGAAGAAAAAGCCTGTACTTTTTTGGAGACCTAGAATCTTACTGATGCTAAGAAGCTTTTGACTATGATTTCGGGTTTCGATTATTTCCTGCTGGCATCTCGGTGGTCACACAGAGAGCTCCCCACTCCAGCGGAGATGGCTGGTCACAACTACCACCGTTGAAAACAAAAGCTAAGTGTTGAAAAATGCACCTTTTACAATAAAAAAGTAGAAACCAATTCAATTTCCTTTTTTTTTTTTTACGAATATAAAGTTTCTTGTAAATATGTACAGTCTTTTGAGCTAGCTCTATGTAGCGGGAAGCACTTCACGGATGAGACACGCAGTATACACTGTCAGGGCTCGAGACGCCCATTTCTCATGGAGGTCCTAAATGAGATGCCAAGACTGAAGACCAGTTTTCAGTGACCATTCCAAATACTTGTGGACCAAGAGACAAAAACTTCAGCAAACAGCCAGTCAGATCTGCCCTGGGGGGTGGGGATGGGAACATGACCCCAAAGACTCCAAGCAACACATAAACACAGCAGCGGGACACTGGGTGTGGAGGGTCACAGGCGGTTCAAACGAGAAAGCACTTAGGTTAGAGACGAGCAGGAAGGAGTCGGCGTGTAGGCCAGGTCGTAATCTGGGTGGTGACGTGGACTGTGGACACGTGGGCTGGAAACACAGACACGGTCACCTGCTGCCGTGGGGACAGGTCTACCTTCAGCCTACCTAGGGTGTGCCTTAGTTGTTAAGGCTTGCCTAAGAGTCATGGAGAATCCAAAGCAGGAGAGGCCTCGTGGGAGATTAAAGGCAAATATAAGGCCGCTAGTTAGCTTGCCAACTGCAAAGCCTCTAAAGTTGGTTCTATCCAGTTACCAGGAATTCCGAACTCTAAAGAGGGTGGAGAGACTGGGGGGAGCCGCACTGCACCTAAGGGGGAATTCGCCAGCCCCACAGGGCTGGCAGAGTTGAGCTGCGGCTTCTCTCCAATGTCCTGGCCTTAGGTCCAGCCCTAGGGAAAGGCTCATCTGGGAAGTCACAGTTTCATGGGGTCGAACCGTGCTGGGTTTTGTGTGAACACACAGTCATCCTTGAAGTCATCAGGGAACTTGAAGGAGAAAGGGGAAACTGAGGGAGAAGTGTGGTTTGCTGAAATCCTTCTCTGGTCGTAAGGCTTGAGCGTTTTTGTTTGTTTGTTTGTTCAGTGCTACAGATTTGCAGCCTGCTGGCCAGTTAGTTGACAAGTCATCAGAGGGTCTTGATTTGGTGGGGCGATGGGATGGCAGCAATACATTGGCAGAGTGACCCAGCCAGGTCAGGGGCAGCACATGCAGTGATCCGCCATGCAGAGCTCCCAGGTGGGGCTCCTCCCCATTCCAGGAGTGACCCTCAGGACAGGAGGTGGGTGCCCCGGACCCAGGCCCAACCCCAAGGCCATATTAATGCTGGGCTTGGAGCAAGTCTATTGCGTGCTTTCCTGGCCAAAGCTACACGGAAAGCTGGGGAAGCAGGCTGGGTAGGTGATGCTGAGGGGTGGGAGAGGAGAGATCGATGAGGTCCCTTGGCCCCAGGTCACTGCCTCTGAGCCGAGGCCCGATTGACCTCCATACATTCTCAGCTGGTGGGAGGGGGGGAAGTTGTCAAGGCCATAAAAGGCAATGAGGACGGTAAACATTTGGCTACAGTGTCACCCTGGGTAAAACAGGGCAATCTATGAGAATGGACCGGAACAAGAATGAAGCTACATGAACACGGGAGGTTAGCCAACCAACGGGGGCTCTTCTATGCTACGTTTCAGTGGCAAAGACCTGATGGTGTGATCTAGCTAAAAACGGCTACAACAGGAAATACATCGCTATCCAAATCTACTTAGAATTCTGTTGTCTTAAAAAAAAGAAGAAAAAAGAAAAGAAGGAAAAAGAAATCAAAACCAAAGAAAAATCAACCAACCCGAGGGTCTTAGAGTAGCAAGTAGAGTTCCAGCCACAGTTGGAGTCCAGGTTGGTTTCCTTTGATGGACAGGTTCAGGCTGGAGCTAAGTACAAAAGTCTGTGGACGCTGTGAAATAGGAACAGTGCAGAGAGGATGGATGCAGGAAGGTGCCCTGCCCCTGGGGGGAGGGCACTGAGTGCTGGCAGCGCCTAAGAGCCTTGGCTATCTGCACCCCTTGGAGATGGGGGTATCCGTGCCAAGGACAGTCTGGACCCAGCTGTGCCGAACGTGGGCCGAGCAGACGGGCGCTGGGGTCCCCTGCAGCGGAGACCCAGCGCGTGCGCGGTACCTTCCTGCGGATTGAGATGAGGAGGTGTTTTCTGGTTGAGACTTATACTGAAGACTGGTCCCAGACCTAGAAACAAAAGGGAGAGGAGGGGTTTTAGCATGCAAAGCCAGACACCAATGCTCCCTGCGTAAGGCAGTTGTCTGCAAATGTCTAGAATGTTATTCGTATTTATAAGGGGGACACCCGTACTTACTTGTATGCACAGAATGGGTCTGGAAGCCACTGATACTGTCTCTAGGGCAGGGAACCACATACCTATTGGTAGCTGTCCCACTTTGAGGTGTGCACACAGACATACCCCCCTTAGACACACGTGTTGTCATTCGTGGAGGAAACCCCTTCACCAAGGCACGTTTTCCTCCTAAGCTTTTACTCCCCACAAGCCTGAGCCGCAGAGACGGAGTCCTGCTTTTATAACAGCTGAGAGGCAGCTTCTGGCCGCATGGCAACTGTGCAGCCCTCACCTTGTTAACCTGGGACAGTGGGGTCCTCACGGCGCCCGCAGGCAGCCGGCCCCTGCTGCTGTCTTCAAACAGTCTCCCTGGGGAGCGCTCTCTCCTTGTGCTGAGCATCCGGCCCGGGGACTTCTCGCGCTCCAGAGGCCGGCCCGGAGACTTGTCCCTGCGCAGCTCTGTCCGGCCCTCTCGGTCTCGGTAGCGGTGGGGTGTGCTTGGCTCTCGGGGGTGGCTGGGGCCTTCCGGGGGCGCCGGGCTAGAGGCCACACGTTTAGTGATGTGCTCATTGTATGTCGGTGGGCCTCGCTTGTTGGGGCTGCCGGGACAACGAGGGAGTCAGGGGGCTGAGAAGTCACAGGCACAAAGCTGCAGTTTCCTTCTGCTCCGAGTGTCTGAGCATGCTCCTGCTCACCTGTTTGTTCGGTTTAACTTTTGAGACAACATCTCACTGTGTAGCTTCAGCTGACCTAGAATACACTGGCCTAGGTTGGCTTCAAGGTCATGATCCTCCTGCCTCAGCTCCTACCACTCACTCTTTTTAGAAGAAGCTTAGACCCGAGCATGAGGACCGAAGAAGCCAGGCTTCCAGCTACAATGCCAGCTCCTACTTACTGCATACTCACCATGTTCCCGCCTCAGCTAAGCCCTCTCTGCACTTTGCCTGTTTTGTAACAATACCAAATGGGAACCAGCTCTGAGTAAGCAGAGCGCACAGCCAAGGGTGGAGAGGGATCCCAAGTGAGGTCAATCTAATATTTCCCAGAAGTGTCCTGTTAGGGACTGAGCCCATCCTAACTCAGAAATCAAAGGCTCATCAAGACCCTTGGTGCTAGAGAACGTTTTGAGAAAGGCTGTCACTGTCAGGGGCCTGATCTGTAACGGCCCTGTGCCCAGCGTTTAGTCACCTCTCCCTGCAGGTGGTTTTCCAAGTTTTAGTGGCAATTGCTAGAGATGCTCAGAAGGCTCATATTTCCCATCATGGCAATAAGATGACCTATAGGCATAGGGATGACGCCTTGTAAAATTAGGAAACCAAGCAGGGCAGACAGCAACAGTCTGGTTAGCTTAGAAAACCATGCTGGCCAAGAGATTAACCATTAACAACCTCTGATCCTCTTCTCCACTGAGAACACAAGGGCCCCTTCGCCCTTTCTTCAGTGGTACCAAAAATTGAAGCCAAGGCCTTGTGCATGCCATGCAAGCCATCTACCAAGGAGCTACAACCCTCTTCACCCAGCCCTGGGACACTGGGACCATTCAGTAGGATCAATCCAACCCTCAGCCCTGGCCTGGCCCTAGGGAGGAGGTGAAAAACAATTTGCGGAGGGGATCTTCTAAGTGGTTAGCTGGCTGTGAGCAGCTCATGCTGTGGTCCCGCATGGGGAAATGCAGCACTAACTGTGATTCAAATAAACGCTCTGAATACCAGCTCCACTTTGTGTCTCAGGGCATTTAAGGTAAGGGAGATGATTTCTACACCCTAGAATCAAAGTCTATACACACCTCCAGTTGCAGAGCTGCAGAGCTAGGAGACACAGGAGACGCATTACAACAGATAAATCTCAGGGAGAGAAACACATTAAGCCCATTTGTAATGAAGGAGAAATTGTGGACTATATCCACAGGGAACCGTCAGAAAGGCTAGCAGAAGGGTGCTCTGTGCCCAGGGAAGCGGGGTGGCCTGGGGAAGGCCATTCAGCACATCAGCTTAGATGAATGAGAGGAAAAGGACATTTGAGGCCAAGCGGGCAGTCGTCCATCTCCATATCCATAATGGCCAATGAGCTACCATATCCATTTTCTGGCTTCTGAGGAGTTATGTTCCCTGCTCTGCTAAACACACCAGGAAAATCACAGCCAGCGAAGGCAGTCAGGGACTCTGACCCACTCAAGGCAGCCAGAAGCAAAAAGACCACTGAATAAGCAGAATGGTAGCTGAGAACTAATTGTAAGTGGGAGTGGGTCTTGCCTGGCATCCCCAGGGAAGCCAGCATGCCATTTCCTTCCCATTCACAGCAATGGGGACCCTTTCAAACAACAGAACAAGCCAGTTCTTACAGTGGGACCACGTGGGGTCAGGAGCAAGACACAAGGCCATGGAGGAGACTACTCCCAACATTGGACCCCTTTCTGGCTTAACTTTCAGGGGTACACACTGGCCTGCTAGGCCATCACTCTGGAGATGGGATCAAACCAAAAGAGAGGCACTGGCACTGGCTTTTCAGCACATTCCCGTGATTAAAATCAGTGTCGCTAAGATGCATTAAGGTACAGAAAAGTGTGCACAGTGCTCTGCCACATTCAGAACAGTGGACCCAAGACCTCATACCTCAGATACATCGACTCCTGCCCATCAGCGAGACAGACCCAGCTTGCCCCAGTATGGCGTCAGAGTATTAAAGGCATGTCTGTCTTTTGCAATACCTACGGATTCTGGAACACTTGGTGGTGTTGATCTGACCACCCAATCACAGGCCCTTAGAGAATAAGCAAAGTGTCCTCTGCATTGCACTCCACAGGCTGATGTGATGCCTGGCCCTTGGCAGGAGATCCTCACAGATGCTTACAGGGCAGGCCAGTGAAATGGTCCCCTAATTCTCAGATCTCCAGGTTTCCAGTGTCTCAAACATGGCTGCAGCTCTGGTTCCTGTTTTTCTGGACCAGGATGGGGCAACCAGCTTCTACATCCAGCTAATGGGGCTACAGGTAGGTACAGTCCCAGGGAGGCAAACTCAGCAAAACCTATCAGAATTACATTTTCTATCACACATCCTTATTTTCTGGTTTGCAAAGGGGTGGAAGTTCCAGCAATAGGCCAGAGGCAACCCAGAGAGCTGCAACTGGTTATGATAGAGCATTTAAATACACTGAGGAACAGTACAGCCAAGCACAGGGAGTCTATGTGGCATGAATGGAGGAGGAAGCTACTTCCTGCATTGCCCTGAGGCCATCCCCAAGACATTAAGGTGTAGGCGAGCTCGCCCAGCGCACTTTCCCATCCGTCAAAAGGAAGAGGGAGGAAGCTGGAAAGGAGGAGTGAAAACCTCTGAATACCATGAGAGCAAACAGCAGCCTCACAAAGATGGTCAAAACTGACCTTGCATGACTCAGAACCAAGCTCGGTGCTTTGAGACCTTGTAAGGCAGCCTCAGATTTTTTTTGTCAAGGTCCTGAACTGACTAAAACCACACTTGACCAAGGCTGGGGCACGGTGACTCAGAGGCAATGCCCTTGGCTAGTCTGCCAGGCCCAGGATTCCAGTCTCAGTGCTGCCAAAAAAAAACACACAAACACAAAACCACACAAACACAAAACCACACAAACACAAAACCACACAAACACAAACCACATGCACACACACTCATGCATGCTGATCAAGTGGATTTTGAAACCAGCTTGGAGAACTCCAACAGTATTTGTGCAAGAAAAGCCAAACCCTGTAAGGCTTAGTGACAGTTTAGCATGCCCTGTCCCCGTGCCTCTCCCCAGATGAATGCAGGGTTGAAGCCAGCGGACTTGTACCCAGACAGTCACTGTGAGAGATCTGTAGCCTGCAGTGTTTGGAAGGCACAGGTCAGGCTGAGGTGCCCAAAAGCCCATTTCCAAAAGAGGATCAATGTCTGGCCTGGAGCAGACACACACACCTGAGGTTCCAGGACAAGAAAAGGCCCCACCTGGCAGCTGAAGGATAGCCCTTGCTAAATGTGGAATGCGCTTGGGGCAGTCACTGAAGTAGAGGAAAACAAACTTCTCTTGGGGTGATACAAATGTTCTAAACTTAAGATACGGGTGGAGATTGGATACACCTACAAAAATAGTCAGAGCACTGAACTGCACACTTGGAGGGTCTGGTACAGTAGCTTTTGCAGTATGCAGTTGTGACCTAGAGGCTTCGAGGGTTCGTGTGTGGAAAGTTACCCCCCACTGCGAGAGTGTGAAGATTTGATGCACACGTGAGTACAGGCACTAAGCGCATGCTCGTGCCGGAGAAGGTCAGAAGAGTGTGGCGTTTCCCCGGGAGCTGGAGTTACAGGAAGGGTGAGCCTCCTGATGTGGGTGCTCATGACCAAATGTGGAGGGTCCTCTGCAAGAGCAGCATACACTCTTAACCACTGAGCCATCTCTCCAGTCCTCACTGTGAGACTGTAAGAAAGTTGAAACTGAACTTACTGTGGTGTCTGGAGGTGGAGGCAGAGCCTTTAGGGGGTGAGCGGGGCTGGACAGAGACCAGAAGGTACCCTCGTGTGTTGTTCCATGTCTCTCGCCATGCGATGCCCTGCACTACCTCAAGACATGGACAGCTAGGCCACTGCCGGACCTCAGAACAGAACCATGAGCCTCTTTTCTTCATAACTATCCCAGCACCAGGTATTTCATCATAGTACCAGAAAACAGACTAATACATGACACTGTCTTTATGGAGCATCAAACAAGGGCTTGTTCACATATATTTGCAGAAAGATCTCTAAAGAGAAACACAAAAGCTTATAAAATTGGTTCCTTCCTGGGTGGTGGTGGTGTGAGGGGAAGGAAGGAAGCCAGGTTCAGACCCTTGAGGGATGAGACAAGGGGACTGTTTGAGCCAGTTCAGGGCAGCATGGAAACTTGACAAGACTCTTTAAATTAGGGGAGAGTGGTAGCTAGAGTGATGGCTCAGCGTTTAAAAACTGTTCTTTCAGAGGACCTGGGTTCAATTCCCAGCACCCACATGGCACATCACAACTATCTGTAACTCCAGTTTCAGCAGATACAGTGCCCTCTTCTAGCCTCCTTGGACACAGTGCACACACATACGTGCAGGCAAAATACTCATTTACATAATAAAAATTAAAAAATAAAAACCAAGCCGTGTAGTGGCACAGTCCAGAGGCAGAGGCAGTTGGATCTCTGTGAGTTTGGGGCCAGCCTGATCTATATAGTGAGTTCCAGGACAGCTAAGGCTACATAGTGAGACCCTATCTCAAAAAAACAAAAATAAAAAATACATAAATCTTTATTTTTAAAAACAAGAAAGAAAGGAAACCCACAAGATTGTACCACTTAATACCTTTGTGCCCTTCGGGTTCTATACCCTGGGGTTAGTAGATTGCCAACACAAACATAAATGCAAGTTTTGAAATAAAAAAAATATTAAAACTCCTCTCAGGTTCCACAGAAGCCTCCACATGGTCTGGGAAGCCACGGCCCACTCCCATGCCTCACACCTTTGGCCTCCCTTGCCTCCTGGTGCCGCTCCCTTGCTTTGTTTCAGAAGTCCTGGTCCCCAGTCTAGGCTGCAGGCGCTCCGTGAGCTCCCACTATGCTCTAAGCCGTGCTCTAAGGGGGACCATCAGGACTAGATGGAGCGTTCTACTTGCCCTTCTCTTGCACGGGGCTGGAACAGCACAGAGGAGGGGGCTCATGGCTAGCATGACAAGGACACAGACCAAAGAAAGGAAGCATGAGTTGTGAGCAGATCTCAACAGAAATTCCTCAGGAAACCGTCAGATGTCCCCTGCCACTGTGACCAGAAAGCCCTCTATAATCCTTGTGACACTTACGATGGCCACACAAAACAATGGCAGCACAAAAACTGCATGGCTTGCCTTCAGAACAAGATGAAGACATGCCCATGCTTCCCTTGTGGCCCCGGAGGGAGCAAGGCTCAGTACCTGCGGGAGGTGGAGGGCACCCGGTGCTGGTCAGTGCCAGACTCCTTCACGAGGTTTCCTTTGCAGCATATGACCCTTAACTTGTCCTGGTATGAGGAGGCCAGGTAAATTGCTCCCGAGGAAATGGCGGGGCCCAGGTAGCGCGGGTTTGGGATTTCCAGATATGCTCGGGCAGGGGTCCTGCAGTATTCCAGAAGAGGGTTAACATTAGTTACTGGCTGCCTCCATTGCAGGGTGGCACTTCGGTCCCTAAACCTGTTCTCAAAGCGTGGAGGGAAATGCTTACCCCAGTGAGGAACGTGCCTGGATCTCAATTACTTCCAGTGAGTTGAAGTGAGTCACGAACAGATAAGGTTCTCTGTAGGCTTCAGGGCACCAAGGAGGATGAGCATGAGGCAACAAAAAAAGAGGTGGGTGGGGTAGGGTGAGAGAAGATGGAGGAAGTAAAATCCAAACTTGAGAAAGGACCAGTAACCCAGCATCCAGTACCCTACAAATATTTCCCCACACCGCGCAATCACACATGGTTGGGTTCATTCACTGCTTTGTTCGTTATAGAATAAGACAGAATAGCTTAGATCAAAGCAATCAGTTAAGAAAATCACAATAGCCCTGTGGAACTCTGCCCAGGGTAAGAGATGCATCAGGAGGCCCCACATCTACCCACAGTGCACTGCTCAGCCAGCAGGCCAAGTTCAGAAGGATGCGCAGAGCATGCTATGCTCACGATGAGGAGGAGTCTCACTGGGGTGAGACCTCTCCTGCAGACCCATATGTTATATGCATTATATGATATATGTAATTCCATAATATAATGCATATACATTATATACTCTCCAAGCTTTAAATTTTTTTCCTACATATGAGTGTTTTGCCTGCATGTATCTGTGCACATGTATGTGTGATGCCCTCACAGGCCAGAAGATGGTGTCAAATGCCTGGAACTGGAGTTACAGATGGCTGTAAGCCGCCATGTGGGTGCTGGGAAGTGAACCAGGGTCCTCTGGAAAAGCAGCCAGTGCTCTTGACTGCTAAGCCATCTCTCCAGCCTCCCCATGTAAAGTTTTTGAAAGACCAGTGTATAGATAGTGCTGTGGGGTTTTAGTATTATTATTTATTTCGTTTTGTAGATAGTCTCGCTATGTTTTCCAGGCTGGCCGTGACCCTCCTGAGGCCCACCACACCAGATTTATCTTAATACTCATCTCTCTATGACAGTGTCACTACAAAGAGAGAAGACAAGATGGGCCCTGTTCTCTCCCCTCAAGGGGAAAGCAGGCTGTCACTGCTGCTCCTGTGGCAAGCCGTGACTTTGAGCGTGGCAGCCCTGTTGGCCAGCTTGAAGCAGCAGAATGTGCTGCAAGTGAAAGGCCACATGGCCTCTGTTTATGCTCGAGGAAGAGTCCAGAGAGAGGGGAACCAAGGCCTCCAGCTAAGTGACCCCCAGCCCATGACCACCACTAACAACCAAAAAATAAAAAGAGAAGAAAAAAGACAGAGAAAGAAAAGCCACCTTGTCTCTTGAGCTGTTTGTTTGAGTTTTTTATTTGTTTGTTTTTACTTTTTCCTTGTTCTGGACCCCCAATGATACCATGGGTGCAGAGCTGAACAGACTGAGTCATGGGCAACAGCACACTTATTTAAGTTCCTGAGTTCCAGGATGGCTTATTACATAGCAATAGGTGAACAAAAGAGCATTTTTTTAAATATGTTCTCTCTCTCTCTCTCTTTCTCTGTGTGTGTGTGTGTTGTTTTGGCCATCATGGTGCTACTAAATATCCACATAGTCTTGTCTTATGGACCTCCATGTGTGTGTTTGTTCTTTGACCTACTCCACATTTAGGGACTTACAAACAAAAAACAGCACCTGACAAGATAGTATAAGGGTGCTACAACACTATTTATACCTACAGAATGAATAGGTAGGACCTCATTGTTCTGCCTAGTCAGAATTAACTTGTGTTCAACTATGCCACGGAATGGTAGGCAGCCTTGAAAATGACCTAAACGCCACAGGGAATATTCTCCTTTCTATCATGAAAATGTAACACTTTACATTACGTAAAGGCTGGACTGTGGCCTCTGCAATCTGACTTACACAGTTCTCCACAATCACACTACTAAATGAATACAGACCATGCCACTCAAGTCCATTAGAATAACCAGCACCAGTCCAAAGCCAATAATTCCACACAAGCTCTAGAGAACAGGAGATCCACCATGCCCACCCAGTACCACACATACCAAAGGCCAGAGGTAAGCGACTCCACTTGAGATCATCTGTGCGGCTACGTCTTCCATATGAATCCACAAACACCCCAAATTCTGTAGGGTGTCAAGAGTATGGTGACATTAGCTCCAGAAGCCACTGTGATAGAAGAACAAGGAACAAAGCCCAGGGACGACTGGCCAGATTTAACCAGACTGTCACAACCATGTGACCTCCACAGAGCCATCTCTTAGTTCAAACTGAGTAGAAACTTAAGTAAAGTTTTATGATCAATTTTAATTAGAGAGTTCAAGCAGGGCTGGAGAGATGGCTCAGTGGATAAGAGCACTGTCTGATCTTCCAGAGGGTCCTGATTTCAATTCCCAGCAACCACATGGGGGCTCACAACCATGTGGAATCTGATGCCCTCTTCTGGCATGCAGGTACACATGCAGATAGAACACTCATACATAAAATAAACAAATAGAGACTTCAAGCAAAAAGGAAGGAAAGAAATGAGAAAAGAAGGGGAAAGGGAATAAAGAAGAGACATACAGACAGGGAGGGAGGAGACAGGAGGAGGGAGATAGTCAAGAGACAGGAAGGGGGAAAAGAAAGGAAAACTTTAAAGAAAGAAAAAAAATCAAGAGAAAAAGTAGTAAAAACCAGAGAAAGACAGTGAATGGCAGGAAGAAAGGGAGGGGAGACAAGAAAGAACTGTCACAATGGCCAGGCTGCTGCCCTGGTCGGGGAGAGGGAACCATAGACGGCAGCTATGATGCCAGGCAGACATTCTCTGTCCTCTTGGTGAGACCCACCCTGCCAGCCAGTGGAAATGCGTTGGGCCCTGTCTGGGGACTGACCATGGAAGCATAGCAGGTACTCTTCTCGCTGCCCAGAGCTGTTTGCCTGCACGATGGAGACAGGGAAGCTGTTGGACGAGGAAGCAAACACGGCAGGTGCCAAGGAGTGGTCATTCTTGTCCAGGAACTCTGTGAAGACAGGCGAAAAGGGGCTTCAGGAATGATGCCAGAGGTGCCCTCCGCAAGGCCCGGGCTTGTGGGGCAGGGAGGGGACAGCGGCCCTACCCTCCAGCGTATACTGCTTCATGTCGATCTCATAGAACTTGTTGGTTCCGATGAGGATACTGTAATTGGTGAAGTGAATACAGCTGCAGGGCTCGGAGGTCTCTATCTCCTGAGGTGAGGGGCACAGAGAGAAAGAGATGACACAGGATGCCCCGTTTCCTCTTTCTCTACCTGAGCCTCTAGCCAAGCCTCTGGACCATGCCTGTCAGGATGACCCATGACCTGCTTGCCACCTCATTATCTTCATTCTGCACCAGCCCAGGCATCCTTTAAAAAAAGGAGGCGGAACTGCAATTCCCAAACAGGTGAGAAACACCATTTTCACAGACAAGCAGAAGACTGGAATGCCACACCTATTATTGACACTAGCAACCAGGGTGCCTGGCCTTAGAGTCCTCCTTTGGGCTAGCTTGTAATTCGTTAGGTTCTCATTTGAGTCTGTATTAGCCACACAGCATTTCTGCATCCCTGTCTTAACTGCCTCCTAACTACTTGCAGTTTCCCACGCTAATCTTAGTATCACTAAAATAAAACAAAGCATGACAATCATGCTTTCTCAGAGTGATGGGCAGGAACTGTTTTCCTGAAGCCAAACTTTAATCACCATCACAGAAAGCATGTCCATTGGTTGCCTCCCAAGTCTGAGGAAACAGAGAAGCAGGACACTATGGTGAAAGGGAGCAAAATCAAAGGTGGATTTAGCCTGAGATGTGGAAAGTCAGCAACTCCTCGGACTCACTGTCTCACTTTCAAATCGGCGGCCACTGAAGTAGCCAGCTCCACCCCTGGAAGGTGAGTGGTCAGCTAGCACCAGGTAACAAGCCTACCGTGACACCAGCTCACTAACATCAATCTGCACACGGAACACACGTCCTTCCTCACCCTGGGTATCCTCATGACATGACCAGGCATGGGCCAGGCTCGTCATTACACAACATATTTAGTCCGGGGGCAGCGGACACCTCTGGAAGCGAGGCAAATTTAAAGGAAGGAATGTTCCTCCTCCACACGGCAGTCAACCCCACACAAAGCACTCTGTCCCGAGGAGAACGAGACCCCTGATCACAAGTCAAAATACAGGCAGTGCTGGCTTGTCCCTCAGCACCAGGAACCTCCAGGTGCTGAGGAAGATGAGGCAGAGGCTGCCAGAGACTGCTAACTTCTAAGACAAAGGTGCTTTCTGTCAGCTCAAAAGGGGTGTCTCCTCCATCCACCTTCACAAAGCCGAGTCTGTTGGGCAGATCCCAAACAGAAGGGCAGTGAGAGGGGACACTGTGGCTACCACAGGCTCTGGGCTCTTCAGCAAGGACAGGTCTCTTGCTCGAGGCAGAGCAGAAAGAACCAGACACACACTTTCCTCAACACAGCACGATGTGTGCACGGACCCCAGGGGGAGGCTGGGCCGTTAGCTTGCCTTCCGGATGCAGTACTTGCTGAGGTTGTCATTGTAGCGGAGGATGACGACTTTGCTGGGCATGGCAGCACAGATGCAGAGGCTGTTCTCAATCTAGAAGGCCATGGGGGAGGGGAACAAGAAAGAGACCTTGTCACCAACACAGACACCAGCTCTGCACAAACTAGACAAGGTCTCACCTCAGCACCAGTGACAGTTTAGACCAGATTATTCTGTGATGGAGGTAGGGGACCACCTATACACTGGAAGATGATGGGAGCATCATGGGCCTGACCACCAAATACCTGTAGATGTCTTCTAGTTGTGACAGTCAAACAACCAGTTATCCCCTGGGGACAGAATCAGCCCTGGTTGAGATTCACTGCTTTAGCTGGAACCCAGGGAAGGCCTAGGGCCCATGTGACACCTCACAGTTCGTGCTTTTGAGACAGGACAGGTTGCCATGAGGAAGGTGGTGGAGGGTACATAGAAAACTCTGGGAGGTGGTTCGTCTCCACCCAGGACATACACTCGGGCATGGTTATGGGTCTTTCCGGAGCAGACTCTCACAGGCACAGCTTCTTTTCTGTCACTGTGTTAAGACACCCTGACAGAACAATGCACTGGAGACAGGGTTCACCCTGATTCTCAGTGAAAGGTGCAGCCTGTCGCAGCGGAGCTGGACAGCTGGCAGCGAGAGCTGGAGCAGGTGGAAGCAGAGACAAATGCATGCATGCTAGAGCTTAGCTTAGAGAAAGGGCTGGCCTGCAATTAAGGCTGGTCAATTCACAACAATTCACCTAAGGCGATCCCTCACAGGCATGCCCAGCAGCCCTTCTCCCAGATGATTCTAGACTGTCCAGTTAGCAACTAACAACCATTACAGGACTTACTGAAATGGGCGAGGCCCCACACTGAGTAAGGCTGGACAGGCCTGAAGGGTGCCAGACTTCCCCTCTCTCCGCTTTCTAATCTACGCAGAGGACAGCAAACAGCTCAAGCTCCTGGCTGCCATGCCTTCCTGGCTGTGATAGGCTGACAATAATATGGAACCCTTCCTTTAGCTTCACTCACAGACACAAGAAAATAACTAACACACTTTGGATCCAGAGGGAGAAGTTCTTTGCTAGGGTCTGTGGATATGGTTTCTACAGCAGAATCTTTTTCCACCTTCTACAGTCAGACTTATTTTTCACCAAGAGTGAAAAGAGGTCCAGCGCACACACAGCCCTAAACTGAAGGTCAGCAGTTGAGAACAGGGAGGAAAGTGCAAATTGTTGGTAATGCTATTTCTGAGGTTGGAGAGGCTGTGTATATAATACATTATGAGGCCTTATAATTTACATGCACATTTCATATAGTTTTCAGTGCTTCAAACAATAAAATAAAAATGATTTATACTTTCTAAAGTTAATTTTGGAAATTGACCTATACATCTCTAAGTAACTCACTATTCACAGGAGAAATCTTAAGGTATGTGGGATGATAACAAAAAAATGTAAATATCCAAAGATACAAGGTGCTGTTAAAACAATAGTCAGAGGAAAATGCATAGCCTTGAAATGCTTATATTAGAAAATGCTATGAAATTTAGGGAGCTAAAGAAAAAATTGGGAAATAATAGGAAAAATGTTAAGGGAAATTAAATGAAGGAAGAAAAATGACAAAGGCATAAGATAATGATAAGAAGGTTGGTGAGATGACTTAGTGGTTAAGAACACAGTCTAGGGCTGGAGAGATGGCTCAGAGGTTAAGAGCACTGGCCGCTCTTCCAAAGGTCCTGTGCTCAATTCTCAGCAGCCACATGATGGTTCACAACCATCTATAATGAGATCTTGTGCCCTTTTCTGGTGTGCAGGCAGACCACTGTATACATAATAAATAAATAAATCTTAAAGAAAAAAACCCACAGTCTGCTCTTCTAGAGGTCGTGAGTTCAATTCCCAGCATCCACATAATGGCTAATGACCATCTATAAAGCGATCTGGGGGCTGGAGAGATGGCTTGGTGGTTAAGAGCACTGTCTGCTCTTCCAAAGGACCCAGGTTCAATTCCCAGCACCCACGTGGGAGCTTACAACTGTCTGTAACTCCAGTTCCAAGGAATCTAACACTTTCATACTAATGTACATAAAAATAAAAATTAAATTATTTAAAAAGAGGGATCTTAAAAAGAGGGATCTGAAGCTCTCTTCTGGCATGCAGTTGTACATGTAGAGGGAGCACTCATAAACAAAATACATAAATAAATACTTTTTAAAAAGGGAATAATAAAATAATGCTGTGGCCCAGACATCCTTAGCAGGCCTGAAACTCACTCTGTAGACCAGGCTGGCCTCAAACTCAGAGATCTGCCTGACTTTGCCTCCCGAGTGCTGGGATTAAAGAAGGGCACTAGTCCATGAATTATTAATTTTTAGTAGCTCATCACATAAACATATTTTCTAGCAATCTGGAACCCTGTGCTTCACCATTTGCTTTCATATTCCTCAGACAGTTTCCCTGGATTCAAAGCCTGAGGAAGGCTCACGTCTACCAAAATCATTTCGCTACCAGAAGGGAGCCACGTGTTCATGGACCCAATTTTCAGGATCAACTCAAGTAAGCTCAGTGGGAAGAGGAATGGGCTTGATTTCCGGAACATCCCATCTGCAAAAGCCTTTGAGGGGAGTTTACCTTGCCAGCAGCAAACAAGTGGCAGCCTTTGACGGCTTCAAATATGTTGGGGGAGATGTCGGGCTGGGCTGGAAGGTGGGACTGTGCTAAGGATTGCTTCACCTTCTTCACGTCCACCAGACACAGGGCCCGATCTTCCCCTGGGAGGAAAGGAACAGCTACGGTCAGGTGGTAACAAATGAAGACACAGAAGACAACAGGAGTACCTGTGACTAAAAGCCAAAGGTGGCTATGTGGACAAACTAGGGAGTATCCCTTATCCAGGATGAGGGGGCAGAAGGGCTTCCAGGTTTGGAATATCTGCACATATAATGAAGTTATCTTGAGGACAGGACCCAAGTCTACACCCGGAATTCCTCTGTGTTTCATAGCCTTATAGCCTAAAGTCAACTTTATACAGTAGTGTATGTGTGTTGTGTGTTTGTGTGTTTGTGTGTGTGTGTGTGTGTGTGTGTGTGTGTGTGTTGGTGGTGGTGGCATCCTTCATTTTGATTGAGAATAAGCAAATGAGACCAAGTATGGAATTTTCCATTGGTAGCACCACGGTGACACACAAGGTTTCAGACAGTGGAAGATTTTTGGATTTTCTGAATGTGTACACTTGACCAGTATACATTCATCATGCTTTAGATATGAAATGAAAGCAGCCGATTTCTTGGGGTATGGGGATAATTTTGCACGCATGAAACTGAAGAACATTATCTAAACTTCAAACATGCTCCCGGAACAGGGAAGAAGGAATGTGTTAGGGAGCCCTGAAGGGGTCCAGCATGTTCTCTAGTACAGCTATTCAGATGTGTCCACGGTGTGAGACAGAGAAAGGGATGAGAACCAATCCAGATGTCGTGGCTTGTTCCTGTAATCTCAGGAGGTGGAGGCAGGAGGATCACAAGTTCAAGGTCATTCTCAAGCTATATTAAAAGTTGTAGGTCAGTCTGGGATACCTACCTCAAAAATTTAAATAAATAATAAAAAGTCCTACCAACAAGTAATGAGGTTTTAAAAAGAAAGAAAGGTATCTGCCACAGATCTGTGACAGAATGGCCCTGGCTCACAGGTTCATATGTGGACGAACTTGGTTGGGGTCACACCTACAATTTACTCAAATGGTGAAAAGGAAAGGAAAGGAAAAGGAAAGGAAAAAGGAAAGGAAAGGAAAAAGGAAAGGAAAGGAAAGGAAAAAGGAAAGGAAAGGAAAAAGGAAAGGAAAGGAAAAAGGAAAGGAAAGGAAAAAGGAAAGGAAAGGAAAAAGGAAAGGAAAGGAAAGGAAAGGAAAGGAAAGGAAAGGAAAGGAA